GAAGTTAATTGAATTCCTGTCGAGTCTCAATTTTCCAAATAAGTGGTTTTGCCACCGTTTGCGGAGACTTTTTCTTTTTTGATGGCTTGCTAATTTTGCCAGGCTTGCCAGTTTTGTCCGCTCCACTTGTGTTGCTTCCCAAGGGAACATTTTCCTTTAACTTTTGAGCTGCTTCACGCACCGCTTTCACCATAGGAATGGTGTTGTAGGCGTTTTTGGCCCCTTCAGTGGGGGCGGTCCAATCGAAGGCATCAGTTTGTGTTCCGGTGGCAGTTTGGGCTGGATCAACGTTCTCTTGAAAAAAGAAATCAGATTGATGTAGATTGAGGTGACAGGAAGTTAAAGGACACAACAAACTAACCATTGGCGTTGTCATTGTGGTGGCCGGAATTGAAAGCCATTTTTGTAAAGTGTTGGTGTCAGAGAGGTAGATCGCGAGAGGAAATAAGACACGTAGACTGAGAACAGAGAGTGGGAATATAATGGGGAGAGAGAAGGATTATTAGCCCGTTATATAGGGCGTAAGGATGACGTGTTGTAGTCTCGAAGGTGTAAAGTTCGATTACCTCAACATAAAGTGGGAAAAGCTCAGCAGCTCACAGAGGCGAAAAAATGAATGACTAAATGCTGAGTTGCAGTCAGTTTTATACTGAAAAGTGGCAAAAGTTCTAAAATAAAACGCATGACGTGGACTTTGGACGTGGATTTAGGTAACAAAGAATTTAATTCTTTTTTTCACAGCTCATTGATTTACAACTTTTTACAACAAATAATTAAATACGATATTGCTAAGTAAAAAATAATGAAAAAACTGGAAGGCCAAACTTAAAACTTCTCCACAGACAGGTAATGACAATTTTCGGGTGAGACGTGCGCCGAACCGGGCTTACAGTCCTTATACAGGTGACACACCATACAGGGCGCATAGAAAAGATCCGTTTTGTCGCGATTGTAGGGGTTGTAGCGAAACTTTAAGCTTCTTCCAAACTCCTGCCGCATCAGCTTTCCCTCGTACAGCAGTATGTTTAGTATGTGCTCAATGTCGTTCTCCTTGATATCACCCGACAGACTAGCGATGTCCTTCTGAACCTTCTCAAAAACCTCCTTCGCAGAGCAGTACACTTTGTCGTTGTTGCTGACGGCGTCATCCGATGAGTGGATTACGCTCATCATGTGCTTGTAAGAGTCCTCGAAGCGTTTGAAGATAAACTGCATACAGATGGCCTTCAGGTTCTTCACAACATCCTCACGAATGAGACCGGCCTCGTAGCAGGCGCCACCGGTCACCGTTTCATCGGGTATCAGGTCGTAGAGGACGTAGAGCTTTCGATTGGAGATGGACTTTACTGACTTGATGAGCTTTTTGTTTTCAAGATTTTTCAGCACTTTATTGACGATAACATAAGAGGTAATCTCCGCCTTCAACCGAATGTCCTTCGTCCAAATGCCATTGTGACCGGCCTCTTTGATTACCTCGAGAACAACGTCATCGAGGCTTTTATCTTCGACGATCACCTCATAGTGTGGCTTATTTTTCCGCGGATCTGCAAAGACGCGTATCTTCTTCTCAGCAAGTAGACTTGTCAGTGCCATAAGGCGTTGGCTCTTGTCGACATTGCTCATCTGCATTTGTAGCTCATCTTCGCTGGTAGCATTCTTTGAGGACTGGATGATGTTGAAGATTCTGTTCAAGCAAAAAATGAATAAGTGAGAATTAAACAAAATACTTGAACGCAAAAACACTTACCGCTCTTTGAGACTGGCCACGCTAGTATCACTTTTGACAGAAGAGGCGCTCGTTGACGCCATATTTGTTTTAGAAACCAAAACTATATTGTAATCATTAAATAATTCTCTTGAAACCGGTGATGATGCTGTCACC